CCACACCTGGCTAATTTTGTTTTTGCATTTTTAGTAGATTCGAGGTTTCGCCGTGTTAGACAGGATGGTCTCGATCTCCTGACCTCATGATCTGCCCACCTCTGTCTCCCAAAGTGCCGGGATTACAGGCGTGAGCCACTGCGCCCAGCCTAGAATACTCATATTATTAAAATTCCCATAAATATTATTTAGAGAAGGTTTAGCATCACTTATCACTCATTTGAAAACACTTTGTATATATATTTTAACATATAAAATAAGGTGGCTTTTCCATTCAGCTTCTGTTTCCAACTGGATTACTGAGTTCTTGATGTAACCCCTTAATAATTAGGGCCAAAAAGTATAGTCTTATGTATGTTGAAAAAGGTCCTTAGGTCATTCCGGTACTTCTAGCTGAAAATCATTGATTTAGTTTTAAGTTCTACCTATTACAACAAGAGTTCTCCATCCTTGTTACATGTTAGTAGTGTCAGGGAAGACTTAAAAATTACCAGTGCCTGGGTCCTCTCCAGACTTGAAACTGGAACTCATGAGTGGGGCTTGAGCATCCACTTTTAAAAATGTTTTCCAGTGATTCCAATGTCTAGCTATATTTTCCATCAGATTTCTCTGATTTCTTGTGGCCTTCACTTTTTTTCTATTTTGGTATCATGATTATTTTCAGGTCTCATTTCCTGTCTTAGGCTTTATATCCCCTGGGGTAGCGACCTTGCCATCTTCATCTCTGTATCTTTTTTGAACACATGAATTGGCCATCAGGAAAAGGTCTCAAGCACACATAGGTTTTGTTCTGAGTCTCAGGTTCACAGGCTAATCCTAAAGTCTTTGTTCTCCACGAAGTCAGAGATTGCTTGTGATGAAGGGTGTGGTTAAGTCTGTAGTGCAGATGGTGGAGGGGAGTTCACCTTGTTTTCAGGCTTAGCATTGGGACTAAGAATTTTATGTCTATATGGGTGAAGGGGCAGGGATGTGTAGGAAGACAGTTCTGATTAAGATGGAGGAATTATACTAGGAAGTAGAGGTAAAGGAAGTGAGAAGGATTAGCAAATAGAAGAAATGTGAACTTACAAAGAGGCTAGAGTAGACCCTTGGAGATTCTTGTTTAAGTGAATTAACTAGATTTTAGAAAGGTTATGAGGCAGTCATATGCAAGGAAGGTTTCAAAGTCTGGAGACAAGAAGTCAAGCAACACTTTGAGAAGTGGTTGGTCTTTATGGGAATGGAGAGAATTACACTATTGAGAGATGTGAAAAATAATGAAGAGGGTTCACAATGTGAAATTGTGTTTCTCGTTTGAATCTGAGAAACAAATGAGCAGACGCTGGAGATAATTATGTCTAAAAGATAGTGGGGTACAGGGAGCATAAAGGTCAGGGAGAAAGGGAACTGCAGGAATTAGTGCTGAGAAACAGGAGTTTGGTGGAGGAAGGAGGAGATCCAGTCCCAGATACAGGCAAATAAGTATTTTCCCTTTCCCAAGCATGGCAGTCAGCCCTGCAGGAAACAGGACAAGAGAAAAGGACATCATACCTGCCAGTCTTCCTGAAATACAGAAATGACATCATGGTTGTTGTTTCGGAATAACCCAAGATTGATATCCTCTTCCTAAAGGAGCTGTCATGGAAAGAAAGAAAACAAGGAATGGAGGTGATGTTATTTTACTGGGGGAAGCCTCAGGAACAAGCATGTAACACGAGGTACTTATAATTGTTTCTTCAAATAATATATTATTTCTGTTGTAAAGTTGATGGGAGATGGTTATATTCTTGCAGATTTTTCCCCTCTCACCATGTTTCTAAGTTGGTGATCAGTCCTCTGTCAATTCTCAACAGCACACGATATTTCAGAAGGGTTTCAGATGGGAGAAAGGCTGATTGCTATTTTCTATGTCGTTAGAACTTTCCACTTTCCCACCTTTTCATGGTTGCATCTTTTTCTCAGTGTCTCTGTGGTGGCAGCCATGAATGAGACCCTGCCGGGTCTTCATGGCAGGGACATGATTGACAGAAGGCCCAGGTCAGTGCATTTCAAATTCACCAAGTCCTTTGCACAGAAAGCTTCCTTCCCACAGGCTCCCAGCAAGGGTGTGAAAGCAAGCCTAGTTCTCTGAGGCTCTGTTTAACTTTAATGGGAAACTGGTTGGAGGACTCCCCATCAGCCATGCAAAAACTCTCTTAGAACTGTATTAATACCTAAAACTTCTTTCTCTTTCTTTTTCACAGGAGTCTGCTTTGCATAGGGGTCTGTGAGTTCTCCCATACTACCTTCATGCCTGCCCCACATTCCTCAGAGGTGTCTTCCCTGATAAATTATCTTATATGTCTAATCCCATCCTGGATGCATCTCAGTTGGTAAAAACTAACATACCAGGTTTGATTCTTTGCACTTAGTTTGCTTGCTTTCTCTCTCACAAGTAGTCAGGAACCATGTCCTAGTGTTTTATGTGTTACCTCTTTTTCTACATATATATGGAAACAGGTACTGTTGAGGGGCACATCCTATGTGCCAGGCCCTTTGCTAAATGCTTTATCTGTACTTCATTTAATTCACACAGTAACCCTGTCAAGTGGATAGTATTTCCATTTTGCCGATGAAAAGACAGAAACTTAGAGTAGTGTAAAATCTTTCCTGGTGTCGTATGGCTAGTAATAGGTGGATCTGAGATTTGATGCTGGGACTATTGACCTCAAGGCTAATGATGATGGTAGTAATATAGCAGCTGACATTGGTTCGCCTGTGTGTGGCATCTTGTTTCATTGACTGCATGAAACCTTTAAAAGAATGGTATGAAGCAAGCTCCCTCATACTTCAGGATTTGAAAGAAGAACAAACTAAACCCAAGCACAGTGAATGAAGGAAACAATAAGGATTAGAGTGGATAAAAATAAAATGGAGAATGGTAAAAGAATAGAGTAAATTAATGAAACCAAAAGTTGATTCTTCAAGTTAAAATCAACAAAATTGACGACCATTAAGTAGACTGACTAAGAAAAAAGAGAGATTAAAATTACTAAAATGAGAAATGAAAATGGAGTCTGAATATGACAGGTCATAGTTTAATCCTAGCACTTTGGAAGGTCACAATGGGAGGATTTCTTGAGGCCAGGTGTTTGAACCAGCATAGGTAACCTGGGGAGACCCAGTCTCTACAAAAAAAGAAATAAAAATCAATTAGCTGGGCATATTGGCATGCATCTGTATTCCTAGTATCTTGGGAGGCTGAAGAAGTAGAATTGCTTGAGCCCAGAAGGTTGAGGCTATGGTAAGCCATAATCATACCACTGTATTTCAGCCTGGGCTAGCCTACAGAGTGAGAGCCTGTCTCTCTCTCTGAAAGAAAGAAAGAAAGAAAGAAAGAAAGAAAGAAAGAAAGAAAGAAAGAAAGAAAGAAAGAAAGAAGAAAAAAGAAAATGAAGTGATTACTACCAATTCTAATAAAATGATTATGAAATTGCTGGAAATAATTGTATGCCAATAAATTGGATAACCTAGATGAAATAGACAAATTCCTAGAAAAACACAAAAATATGAATAGAGCTATAATCAGTAATAAGATTGAATCAATGAAAGCATTTGATGAAATTCAATGTTTTTTCACAGTAACAACATTCTAACTAAGAATGGAAGGAAACCACCTCAACATAAAGGCAATATGTGAGAAACCCAATACTAACATCATACTCAATGGAGAAAGACTGAAAGTTTTCCCTGTATGAGCAGGCACAAGACAAGGATGCTGCTTTTGACACTTCTATTCAATGTAGTGTTGAAAAATCGAGTCAGAAAAATTAGGCGAGAATTTTAAAAAAGACATTCAAATTGGAAGAAAGAAGTAAAATTATTTCTGTTCGCAGATAACTTGAACTTACATGTAGAAAATCCTAAAGATGGAACAAACTTATTAGAATTAATAAATGAATTCAGTAATGTTGCACAATACAAAATCATCATTCAAACATCAGTCGTATTTCAATACACTAACCATGAACAATCTGAAGGGAAATTAAGAAAATATTTTTAATTTGTATTAATATCACAAAGAATAAAATATTTTAGGAATAAGTTTAACCAAAGAGGTGAAATGATTATACCTGAAATCCATAAAATATTGCTTAATGATGACATCAATAAATTGAAAAACATTTTGTGTTCATAAATTAGAAGACTCAATATTGTGAGGAGGACAATGCTACCCAAAGTGAGCTCCAGATTCAATACACTTCCTATCAGAATCTCAGTGACAGTTTTGCAGAAAAAGAAAAATCTGTCCTAAAATTTATATTGAATCTCATGACTCTAAATAGACAAACAACTCTGAAGAGTAAAAATGAAGCTGGAGGACTCACTCTTCCTGATTTCAGCATTTACTACAAAGCCCCAGTAACCAATACATTGTGGTACTGGCATAAAGGAGGACATAGAAATTAATGAAATTGAAGAGAGAGCCCAGAAAGAAATCCTTGCATATATGACCAAATGATTTTCATGGAGTGTGCCAAGATCGTTCAATGGGGAAAGGACAGTATTCTCACCAAATGACATTGGGAAAGCTGGATATCCAAGGGCAAGAATGAGTGGAACCTTTACCTAACACCATATACAAAAATTAACCCACAATAGATCAACGATCTAAATGTAAGAGCAAAAACTATACCACTCCTAGAAGAAAAGGTAGAAGAAAATCTTTATGATATTGGATTTCACAATGATTCCTTGGTTGTAACAACAAAAGAATAGGCAACAAATAAAATGGATAAATTGGACTTCATAAAAATCAAAACCTTTTATATATCTAAGAACATTATCAAGAAAGTAAAAAAGGAACCCATGAAATGAGAAAAATATTTGCAAATTATATGTGTGATACCTAATTAATTTCTAGAATACATGAAAAACTACAAGTCAACAACAGCAAACATCCAAAAACCCAATTAAAAAATGAACAAAGGATTAAAGCAGAGTTTTCACCAGGGAAGATATACAAATATCCCATAAGTCCACGCAAATTTCCTCAGCGTCACGAATACTTAGAGATATGCAAATCAAAACCACAATGTGACACCATCTCACACACTTTAGGATGGCTTTGATAAACAACATAAAAACAACAAGTGTTTGTTTTTTGATAAGCAACATAAAAACAACAAGTGTTTTCAAACAGTTGGAAAAATTGGAGCTCTAGTGCATTGCTGATGGGAATGGGAAATGTTACAGCCACTGTAAAAAGTGGTGTGGCTGTTTCTCAAAAAATGTAAACAATAAATTACCATTTGATCCAGCAATTCCACTTCTAGACATACTCCCTATAGAATTAAAAGAAATTTGAACAAATGTTTGCACATTGATGTTCAGAGAAGCATTACTCACAATAGGAAAAAAAAGGAAACAACGGAAAGTCCATTGAAAGTAAGTGGGTAGGCAAATGAGGTATATCTATACATCAAAATGTTATTCAACCTTAACAAGGAATAAAATTCCAATACATCGTGCAAAATGGATGAACCTTGAAGACATTATGCTAACTGAAATAAGCCAGACACAAAAGGATAATTATTTTATAATTCCATTTATAAAAGATAGAATAGCCAGTTACATAGAGACAGAAAGTAGAATGGTGGGTGCTAAGACTTAGGGGAGAAGGAGTGAGGTTACTGTTTATTGGGTACAGAGGTTTAATATGGTAAAAGGAAAAAGTTCTGGAAATGGATAGTGTGATGGTTACACAACACTAAATTGCACACTTAGAAATACTTAATGATAAGTCTTATAATAGATATATATAAGTGTCTGGTAGTCTTATACTCTATAAATATACACTTTCTGGCATGGCCCTTTCCTGCCATGCAGAGCCCCAGAGGTGAATCTCCCTATTTCTCCAAGTGTGCATCACTCATTGTCCTCTGTGCTGTGTCCCACGTGCTGTGCCCACAGCCTTATATGGCTGGTGACTTCAGAGCCAGGATACAACTCCAGAGTCTGCCCCGAGGCTCCCTCTCTTCTTATTTCCCTGCAGCCTAGGCTTCATTTCAACCGGCAGCTCAATTTAGCCGAATTCAGGACAGGCCATCAGGGGTCTTTCTCCATACATGCTGTTCCCACCCAGTGGGACCCACCCCAGTGGAGTCAGGAAGGGCCAGTCACTGGAGAAGCCTGGAGCAGAGGATGCAGCAATCTGAGCTGCTCCTCTCTCATCCAAGGGGCTTCCTCCTCTCATTTGGGGGAAAAATGTGAGCTTGTTTCAAAGCCTCAGATGTTCTTTGTAGCACATGGAGTAAGTAAAAGAAAACAAAGATGTGGCAGAAAGGGATGTGTTGGAGACAGCGAGAAGCAACTTGATCTTGAGGACTCTCCTTCTTGTCCCTCTATGAAGCCTCTTCCACACATAGGGCTCAGGACTGACAAAGCCCCCTCCCTACCCTTCTCAGACTGGACACAAGGTCAGCCATGAGAAAACAGAGAAACAAGAAGAAAGTCTGTAGAGAGAAATTGAGAGGGTTCAGGAGGAGAATTTAGGATTTGCTTCTGCCCATGGGACACAGGCTGGGAATAAAAATGTTTTCCTGACTCTTCTCTGAAAGCCAGATAGACTCCACCTAAAACCCTATTGCCAGTGATGCCGGGATCCACTTACCAGAGACTATGACCATCTTGAATGTGGAACATTCCCTGCCAGTGGCTGAGTTACGAGCAGAGCAACCATAGATCCCGTTATGCTTTGTACTAATTTGGGGGATAAAGAGCTCTTGTCCTGATTGCACAAACTTCCCATTAATCGTCCAAGAATACTCTGCCGGTGGGTTAGAGTTCGCGAGGCAGGACAAGTAGAGGTTATCTCCTGAACGGTAATCCGTGAATGAAGGGAAAATCCTGGGGAAGTCTGGACCATCTGGAGTAAAGAGAATAAAACCGCAGGTGATGTCGTCCAAGGGAAGGGGATGCGCCTGGTCTCTCAAAGGGACACAGTGTCCCTCTGAGCCAAGACACACCCTCAAGGCCCAGCCAACCCCTTCTGTCTTCACTGAACAGAGGCATGAGGTATTCACGTGTTTCTCCCATCACAGGCTGTAGACCCCAAGTCTCCCATGACAAGAGCAGCCCCTCCCTTTATATTCTTGCTTAAGGCTGTGCCTAGCCAAGTTTTCCCAGGGCAGGGAGTCATGACCAGCCCTGGTGTCCAGAAATAAAAGTATCTGTATTTGAACCTGAGAGAGACTGAGATGCCTGGCCTCTGGTGGCTTGGATTTTTGCTGGTGGCCTGGTCCACAGAGGAACCAGATAAAAAGGACATCCAGGATGACTGGGTCACTGCAGATGCTACCAACTCGGTCCCGTATTTCACATTCATAGGGTCCTGTGTCATTTCTTGTGACATTGGCTAGAATGAGGATCCTGTTTTTACCGGGTTGCTTTAGCCTGGGACTGATCGGGAGGCTCTGACCATTTACCCACCACACGTAGGTGTAGCCCTGAGTCTTAGGTACACAAGTTAAGGATACATCATTCTTGTTCTCCATGGGGTTGAAATAATTGCTGGTGATGTAGGGCTTGGGCAACTCCGCTGGGTGGATAACAGAGAGAAGATTGTCCTGTGTGGCACCTTTGATTCCTCCACAGACATCCTTCAATCAGAGTTGGCATCTCCCACCTCTCAGCCCACCCGAGTCCTTGAAAGTCAATAGCTGGTGCGTGTGTCACAAGACAGATGTATGATGATCTAAGGGCTCAAAGACTATGAGGCTGCCTGCTCTGTCTTAGGGAAGCACAGACTTTCTGAAGTGTGAATTTAGCAGCAGTGTTGGGTCATGGACAAACATGTCAGTGGGAGTCACAGGCCCTGGTACACGTCCCAGTCCCTCTCTAATCCACTGACTGGCTGGCTCACCTTGGATTCCTTACCTGGAATGTGCAACTGCTGGGTCCCTTCCAAATTCCATCCTACTTTGCCCCCCTAGATGTGATTTCTCTGCAGCTTCCATTTCCAAGGACATTCTAGAGATGAGTGATAACGGGACTTCCCATTGTCCTGAAACCCTAAGATACTGAACAGCCTGGCCTGGGACTGAATGTTTCAGCAGAAATAAGACATGGGAGACCAGAGTCAAACCTGGAGGTCAGTTCAGTCCTGAGGCAGTGGAGGTACAAGGTGGGGTAGTTTTTTGCAGGTGTTTCATGATGACTTACTTGAGCCAGTGACCTCCAAAGATAGAACAAAATGTAAGGAATGATCTAGAAAGAGTGAAGGGGACAGGCAAAAGCTGGTCGTTTTGGAGCAGAAACATATTCCCTGTCGTGGGTTTTTTATTTCCTTCTCCCTCTGCAGAGGGCAGGTGGTTCTTCCTTGATAGCCAGATAGACTTCACGGGAAAACATATGGCCAATGCTCCCTGGATCCACTTACCAGGAACTATGATATTCTTAATGATGAGATTGTTCCACCAGTAGCTGAGTTATGGATGAAACAGACATAGGCCATTCTATATGTTTTAGTGATGTGGGGGATAAAGAACACTTTTGCTGATTGCTGGAACTTCCCATCAATCAGCCAAGATTGCTCTGCCAGTGGGTGAGAGTCTGTGAGGCAGGAGAGCTTGGGGACTTCCACTGGATAGTAATAGGTGTATGAAGAAGAAATGGTGGGGGTATCTAGGCCATCTTGAGCAGAAAATAAAGTCACAGCTGATGTTGTCAGAGGGAAGGGAAAATCCTGGCCTGTGGAGGAGCCACGGTGACCCTGTGAACTAAGTCACTACACTGAAGTCCCAGCCAAATCCCTGCTGTGTTCACTGATCTGGAGCTTGAGACATTCACCTGTTTCTCCCATCATAACCTGTGGACCCTGAATCTCCCATGACAGGAGCAGCCTCTTCTCTCCCATTGTCGATCAAGCCTAAGCCTACTCTTAGTCATCATGGCCAGCTTTGATGTCTAGGTTTAAAGGTCTCTGTTCTTGGACCTGAGAGGGAGTGAGAGGCCTGGCCTCTGGCCATGTGTATTTGGGATGGCAGCCTGGCTCACAGAGGAATAGAAGATACTCACAGAGGAGATTCAGGGTGACTGGGTCACTGCGGCTGGAACTCACTGGGTTCTTCATTTCACATTCATAGGGTCCTGCAGTATCCTTTGTGACACCAAATAGAACGAGGGTCCTGTTGTTTCCAGACAGCTGCCACTTGCGACTGATAGGGAGGCTCTGACCGTTTATCCACCACAGGTAGCTTACATCCTGAGTGTCAGGATCACAGGATAAGATCACAGTCTCCACGGCCTCTCTGGGGTTTAAGTTGCTGCTGGAGATGTAGGGCTTGGGAGTCTCCACTGTGCAGATAACAGAGAGAAGATTGCCCTGTGTGGCACCTTTGATTCCTCCTAAGACATTTTTCAATCAGAGATGGTCTTTCCCACTTCTCAGCCCACTCAAGTCCTAAAAAGCCCATGGCAGATGTGTGTGTTACAAGACAGATGCATGGCAATCTGAGGGTTCAGTGATTGTGAGGCTGCCTTCTGTATGTGGAAGAAGCACAGACTTTCTCAAGTGTGAATTGAGTAGCAGCATTGAGTCATGGAAAAACATGGGACCGGCAGTCACAGCCTCAGGTGCCTCTCTGAGTCCCTCCCTCTCCAACTGCCTGCCTGGCCCACCTTGCGGTCCTCACCTGGAGCATGCATTGCTGGAATCTTCTTAGTTTCAGTCTTACTTTGCCCCCAAGGTATGTTTTCTCTGCAACTTCCCTTTCCAAGGGGATCTTAGAGATGGATGATGAAAGTTCCCATTGTCCTTAAACCCTTTGAGTACTGGGAAGCCTGGCCTGGGACTGGGTACTTGAGCAGAAATAACACAGGGGAGACCAGAGTCAAGCCTGGAGGTCAGTTCAGTCACCAGGCAGTGGAGCCACAAGGTGGGGCGGTTTTCCCAGCTGTCTCATAGTAAGTGACTTGAGCCAGTGACCACTAAAGATAGAGCAGAGTCCAAGGAATAACCTACAAAGAGTGAAGGGGACAGGCAAGAGCTGAGAGCTTTGGACCAAGACCATGTTCGCTGTTCTGCATCCATGATATTCCCTTCCCCCTGTAGAGGGCAGGTGAGGACCTTGTATATCTTTCTAGAAATACATGTAGATGTTTGCAAAAACAGAACTGAATGGTAGAAAGGGCGGACATGAACTGATGACAGAAGTCTGGCCCTCATGGACCATATGTGTTTGCTGGCTATTAGAGCAATATGTGGGAAGAAGTCTTGCAGATACTTTCTCTCATTAGACATTCTACTCTCTAATTCTAGGAGTTAGACTACTCTATGTAGCTTATCTCAGTGGATTCCAGAGTGAATCATAGAGTAGAATAGTAGTTTCCAGGAGCTGTGGTCGGGGGAATAGGGCATTGTTCCATGGCTGTGCTGTTCAGTTATACAGGATGAGGAGGTTCTAGAGATCTCCTGTACAGTTTTATGCCTATAGTTCATACAGATAAAGTGTTCTTTATGCAGAAAGCTTAAAACCAAGGTTTTTGGATTCTAACTTTTTTATTTATTTTGGAATATTTATGGTAGATGTACTGGGTTAGCATCCCAAATGTGAAAAATTTTAAATCCAAAATGCTCCTGTGAGCACTTCTTTTTAGTATCACATCAGTGGTCAGAAGTGTTGGATTCTGGAGCATTTCAGATTTTAGATTTCTGGATTTGGGATGTTCAATTTGTAGTACTGTAATTTTCCCATAAAAAGTTGTCAAGAGTTTAGACCTCATGTTATGTTGTGACTCTAGTAACGAAACAAAAAAAGATTTGGAGGAAACATTAAAATGTTGTCATAAGTGGAAATTTTTACTGATGGTCCAAACATCTGAGATGGATTGCTATTAGTAATATTTATCTTGATACCAAATTAAGGTTTAGGTGTGGGGTGAATTCCAACAGGATCACATTATGCTCAAAGAAAGATGCCAAAAGTGATTTGAAATTAGCAACTCCTTAAGTAGAGAGAGTCCCGTTAAAGGGACAGAACTGGTCAGTGTGTCAATTACATAAAGGGAGGAATGATGCCGAATTAAAAGAAGTGATATGTGTTATGTTAGTAAATATAGTAAGAAATCCCTGTTTCTAATTTCTGTGCAGAGTTAGGAAAAATGGGGAAGAGCCCAAAACAGGTATGTGAAATGCTTTCTTCGTTTTCTCTTAACCTCAGGAAATACAACTAGAGTTTAAGTTTGTGTGAATCAGGAAGAGTCTAAGTGAGATGCCAGTGGCTCATGTGTCCCCCACACGAAGAATCCCAACTTATGAAAATGGCATCATCAGGAGGAAACAATCGTATGTGGCACAGGCTGTAAAACCATCAGATAGCACGCCCTGGCCACCTCCAACAGGTCCCCGAAACCACCAGTATTCCCATTATGTGTAAGTTACAGCCTTGGAGGTTGTACCACAACTACAAAATTTAAAAATTGCTATTGTCAATACATAATGTTAAATATGAAGTGGGATATATTGTTCCATTTTTTTCCCCCACTCCTTTTGAACTTTCCTTTTTCAGTTTTGGAAGTTTCTATTGACACATCCTCAAGTTAGGGATTGTTTTCTCAGCTGTGTGCATTCTACCACTAGGCATCAAAAACATTCTTCATTTCTCTAACAGCAAGTTTTTCGTTTTCCTTTTTTTTCTGAGATGGAGTCTCACTCTGTTGTCCAGGCTGCAATGCAGTGGCAAGATCTTGGCTCACTGCAAGCTCCACCTCCCGGGTTCATGCCATTCTCCTGCCTCAGCCTCCTCAGTAGCTAGGACTACAGGTGCCCGCCACCACACCTGGCTAATTTGTTTGTATTTTTAGTAGAGATGGCGTTTCACTGTGTTTGCCAGGATGGTCTCGATCTCCTGACCTCGTGATCCGCTGGCCTTGGCTTCCCAAAGTGCTGGGATTACAGTTGTTAGCCACTGTGCCGGCCATCTCTGAGGGATTTTAACGAGTTGTTGACTTTTGAGTTTTCCGTTGTTTACTTACTGTTAGAACCGAGTGACAAATTTCAAGCCTGTTATATGGCTGACAGGAAACCAGAAGTCTCTAGGAAGTGACTGGAGAATGTGAGCTCCATAGTAGGTTGTGGATGGAGTCGTGAGTGAAATGGGTGAAATCAGCCCATGGGCTTGGAGACTGCAGGCCTGCCAGCCTCTGACACCCTGGTCAGTCAGTGCAAAGATTACAACAGTGACAGCAAACTAGCATGGCTGACTCCATCTGGCATCGAGTCTCAGGCTGGCTGTCCTGACTCATTCCTGGACATAGGCCAGGCTAACCATGGGAAGAATTTAATTTATTGTTTAACTTTGAAGCAAGAATGATAATAGTTCCTCCATAACACTAATACCCTTCTTTTGCCCAGGGATTGCCTTTGTAAAACTGGTGAAAGACCATGAGAATAAGATTGTAGGAGGGAACTGAATTCTGCTAAAATGGAGGCACAGTTTCTATAATCCTTACTGCTCAAATGTCATTTGCCCAGAGTTTACAAAATTTGTATCTATTTGCTCCTATAGATAACACACTATTGTAGAACCTGAGATTGGTCTTTTGAGATGTTTCTCATTCTTTGCATTCTGGAAACCCGCTGACCTCATCCATACCCATGACTAATGGCTCAGCCAGTCACATGGTCCCACCTAGAGTGGATTCAAGCACAAACAGATCATTTCCCTCCGCCCTCATGATTCCATCCCCAAACAGTCAGCAGTACCCATTTTTAGTCTGTGCCCCTGAAACTATCCTTGAAAATCTCTAACCCTGATCCACTAGGGAGTCTGATTTAAGTAATAATAAACCTCCGTCCTCCTGTTTGGCACACTTGGAGTCATTAAAATATTTCTTTACTGCAAATCACTATCTGGATAAATTGGTTTTGTTTGTGCAGGAGGCCAGAAGAACTTGTCTGGGAATTATAAGAGTGGATGGAGGAGCTGACTATCCCTGTCCCATGGTCTTGTCCACAGAACAGCCTCACAAAAGGACAGAGCCCTGAATGGGGATACAGTGGAAGCTTATTCTCTTAGTGACCTGGGGACATTGGCTCAAGATGAAACTTGGCAGGAGTGGCAACTCCAGGTGATTTCTGTGCCTTTCCTGTTTCCTGGGAGGTGGGCCAGGCCACAGTGTTAGCAGGAAGGGAACAGAACAATTAACCTAGTTAGAGGGAGTGTCTGGGGGAAGGCCTAGGGGTGGAGGAAGAAGCTGTGCAGGACAGGGCTTGCCAGGTAGAATGAAGTGGGAGGAAGGTGATGTACACAGAGAAGCAGAGAGAGGCAGAGACAGCATGGCAGTGAACAGTGGGGCCTACAGTGACTTCAGAGACCCCAGGGACCAGGTGTCCCCAGTTCCACAGGCCAGGATCAGGCCTGAAAACCCTCCAGTGACCAAAGGGCTTCAGAGTTACATGAGATGGGTTGGCTTTAGGGGCAAGAGTTAGTGGGGGATGAAACATGGGTGTCAGCCTCTGAATGACAAGGGACAGGTGTGGCTAGACCTCCTAGGATCCTGCATCCAAGATCCAGTCTAAAGAAGTTATGGATCATTCATTTCTTCATTCAATTCCTTCATTTGTTATGTGAGAGCTCCTGAGTGTGTGTCTCTCACTGGGCCTGTGCTGGTGCGGGTGTGAGTGGGGAATGAAAACAAGGTCCTCTCTTTTATCCTGTCATGTCAGTGACATGGACACTTTCGGAAACAGGATTTCAGGTTCAGTGATAGGGGTTAAGATCTGAGGGGGAGGCCTGGACATTTTTTGCACTGACTCTGACAGTTGAGGTAGGTGATTTAGTTCTGGAGTGCAGACTAATCAGCTGACCATTTGCTCTCACTCCTCTGAGGTTTGGATGCCTAAGAAGAGAGGATTTGAGCCAATGAATGACTATGGGGTCCTTGGAACCCATTAAGCCCTCACTTCTGGTGGAGGAGAGGATGGGCCTGTGGCTGCAGACAGACCTCATGTGACCCTGATCTGCCTTTTGTGTTTGTGTGACTCTGGTTCAGTGACTGTGCCTTCCTGTGTCTCAGTTTTCTCTCAGTCAAATAAGCTAAATTGCAAATGGACTGTGGCTTTTCATGCTATCTGTGAATAAATTGTAAATTTTTCACAGTCCCCTGACCTAATGCTTGGCACAGTGGAGGTGTTCACACAAACAGCATTTATTATTATTCACTTCCATGAGGGAGCACCTTTAGGTCAGATCACTGTGGATAAGCTGCTGCCAGGTACATTTTCTCTCTTCTGTTTCTGCTTCTGGGGACATTAGACTCGCAAAGCAGTTGGCTGATGGCTTATAAAGCTTGTGTTTCTGTCCTCTCCACTCTGAGTGTCAGGTGAAGAAAGCTCTGTCCTGCCCAGTTGAGGATCTGAGGACTGAGCCCTGGCAGTGAGCAGCTCCAGGAGACACAGTCCTCAGACGCCTGGTGAATCCTTGGTCCCAGTAAGCCCTGCCACAACCCAGCCTTGGTACAGCCTCCTCAGCTTTATCTGGAGTAAGGATTTAGTGACGGGTCTGGGGTTGAGGCCTCCAGGGTTGAGCTTTTCTGAGAGTATCTCTGGGGGCCTCTTAGGCAAAGCCCTACTCAGTTCTCCAGGGTCTTTCTCAGGATCTAGTTTATGAAGAGGGCATGAGGTGCTTGGCTGAGATTCATCTCTTGCTGAGCACCCTCCCTTCAGACTGTCCTTCCTGTGCAGCAAGTGTCTGCAGGGTTTGGAGGCAGGAAAGGAATTCTGATCTGTTATAGTTTGTCTGCTCTGTGTGTGTCCTCCACTAAATGCCAAAACACCAACATGCGACATAATGCAGAGAGGGACACAGGCACCGTCTAGGCCTGACCATCCTGTTGGTGTAAAGTAGAAGTGACCCCGCCCCCCAACACCCAGGGATCATGTGGAATCACTCACGGTATAAGGTGAAATGTCCAATTACTCCTTTAGTCTTATCACCTTGCTTTATCATTTGAATGGTGTAGGATCCTGTGTCATTCTTGGTGACATTCTGGATCAGCAGGGATGCATTGGAATATACTGTTTCTCGTCCACTGTATGCAGGCCCAACTATAATTGTTTCAGCATCTATTACATATGATGTAATGTAATGGTGGAAGTCCGTTTTTTGCCCTTTGTACCAGATGTAGGCAATAAGATTCTGGGGCAAATTCTGGACAAGTAGAAGAACATCCTTCCCCTCAGAAACTTTGGCTGGCTGGGCTTCAATTGTGACTTGAGCAGTGGTGGGTGGGTTCCAGAAGATTAAAAGTGATGCTAGGACGTGGAGAGAGCATCAGTCAATATTGCGACGTATGTATGGGGGTGAAAAATGGGACTCTGGGTCCTGAGAAGATCTCTTCAATCTTCAGTCTTGAAGACACACACACACACATACAAACACACACAGCACCCCAGTATGACAGTAGGACACACACATACACCCCTTTTGTGTGTGTGTGTGTGTGTGTGTGTGTGTGAACTACTGTCCTACTGGGTCAAAGTCAGCAGCATGACCCCCATTTCTTCAACCCTTCTTACCTTGTCATATTTCTGTTTGGAATCCTCTTCCCCAGGGATCTTCATGCCTCCCTCCACACCACCCTCAGGTCCTGCTCACATCAGGGCATCCTTAGACTTCTTTCCTGACACCTCCTTCAGAGACCCTGGATCTTCTATTTCTGACCTTTCCCTGCTCTGCTCCCTCCGGAGCTCTTGTCAACACCTGACCTCACATTCTAGATCTCTTTGCATGTCTGTCTTCCTTCCCATGACAGCGTGAGCTCCCTGAAGACAGGGACTTTTAGGATCTTGGTTGCACCCCAGTGCCTGGAACAGGCTTCAGACTCCTGTAGATGCGAAAGTTCCCAGGTCCCTCCATGCCTGGGGTGTTTTTTTTCTTTCACCAATTGTTGAGGTTTTTTGCTGAGGACAGTGTTTCATGCAATGCTTATGTTTTCATTTGAAGTGTCATCTGATAATCGTTATTATTATCATTTTTCAAAATGTGGTGTCCAGTGTCGATTAACCAGGAGAACAGAACACTTGAGATTTTCCTACTTCTTACCAATTCCAGTTCAATGTGATTTTCCTGTTTTGACCCCTGTCTCTCTCTGGTGTATTTTCCCCTATCCAGGCTCCAACAGAGCCTTCTTTTCTGTTTTTGTTTCTTCTTTTCCTTTCCTTTCTTTTTTTTTTTTTTTTTTTTTTTTTTTTTTTGAGACAGTCTCATACTGTCACCTAGTCTGTTGTGAAGTGTCATGATTTTGGCTCACTGCAACCTCTGCCTCCCAGGTTCATGTAAGTCTCCTGCCTCAGCCTCCCAAGTAGCTAGGATTACAGGAGCCCATCACCACACCTGGTTAATTTTTGTATTTTTAGTAGAGACGGGGCTTCACTGTGTTGACCAGACTTGTCTTGAACTCCTGACTTCATGATCCACCCACCTCAGCCTCCCAAAGTACTTTCTTCTGTTATTTCTTAGAACCCCATCCTCTCCAGGAAAATCCATCCAATCATTCTGCTTCCTCCTCCTGTCCTCTCCGAGGAAGTTCTCTCCTCACCTGTAAGCAGGAGCTCCTTCCAGGTGATATGCAGTGTGCAGCGAGGGGCTGAGAGGGGCCCCATGGCCTGTGCTGCCTGTGTGTTCTCCTGTGTGGAGATGAGCCTGGGATCCAGAATCTTTCCTAGCACAGCTGTCAGCTGTGCTCTCCTTCCTCCTTCTGTGCTGGGCCTCTTTCCGGGGCAGGAGCACTTCTCTGGCTCATGGGTGGAGTCTGAGCCCAGGACACCTCTCTGTCCCCTCCCCTCTCAGTCCTGCCTCCTTGTCCCTCCTTCTCTTTTACCTTTTGTGTGTGTGTCAGGTCCCTGGGAATTGTGGAGGCCTCTGCCTTTTTCAGCAGTGATTCTGTCAACAAACCTCAATGCACACTATGTCCAGAAACACAAACACACACACACAAGAGACACACACGGTCACACACATACCCTGTAGGTTGGGCAAGCACAGTCCTGGGTCTCAGCCTCCTGCTGTCCCAATGGCTCTGGTTTGAGGTGCACATTCATGCCCTTTGCCCTCTTTCATCCCCATCTGGCTCTCCCCTTCAGTGCAGGAGGCTGGAGCTGCACCAGGTTCCTGTCACAGGTACACCCCATTGTGCTGTGGGTGAGCTGTGTGTCGCCTGGTGACAGGGACCCTTCCTTTCTCTAATTGTGTCTAGCTTGGCTGCAGCTTCCAAGGATGGACATTCAGGACCTGGGGTGTCCCAGAGGAAAGTGTCCTTCCTGGAGGTGTGCAGGGTGAATCTCTCATGCCTTTGGGAGGAGAGGCCTGTGCTGGGTTGCTCAGTAGGGGCTGTGAGTCCCATGATCAAAGAGACAGTTCTCAGTCACTCTATTGCTCCCTGGGGTCTGGGTGGGCTGAGCTGGGGCTCAGGGTTTCTCATTTCTTCTTGACCATCTTTGGTGTCCACCAGGGCAGGAGGATCAAAGCCAGGGGATTAGGGACAAGTCATTTTCATTTTCTCATTCCCAGGGACCAGAACCCAGGATTCTGACTCCAGGGCATGGTATCACACCCTGCTGGTGTCCATGAATGTCATGAGTGGCTCTCATAGTGTCATGTTACCTTGGCATTCATTTTTTAAGGTGTATGTTTATTTGCCTCACATCAGAGGCAGGCCTGGGTCACCCTGGCAGTTTTCCATACTGTATCTGGTTCAAGTGGGTCCAGTTGTTGACCAGAGATAAAATCTTAGAGTCATCTCTTCTGCTTGGTGTGCTGGGCTCCCCTCTCTCCAGCTGCTTTCTTTAAACTGATAAATCCGATATTTGCCCTTACATTTAAAGTGACCGCTTCTCAGTCACAGCATGATCTCCTGGTCCCAGTGTTTGCTGCTTGCTTTAAACACATCCATTAAAACTCCCTGCTGGAAACCTGTCAGATAACACCTGAACTTACCAAAATCATTGGCTTACCGGTCTCTTCTCTCCTCCCTGCCTGGGCTCACTGACCTCTGTATCTGTGGTCTCCAGGTGTGCTGAGTGCTCCCCAGTGTCTGTAAGTAGTAAAAACACTTACACTTTCACGTTGTGGTTGTATCACTATAGCCTCACGTACCATCCAGGGCCTGACATCAAGGCTGC